TCCCATCTTCTCCTTTGTTCTCGTTACAATGACCCAGTCAAAGGCCAATCTCTCCATTGCGCTCTGAAGCCAAAAACATCCTCTCTTTCCAGGGCCTTTATTCCAGCAGCTATTTCCCTGTTTTATATCTTTAGTCCCTCCTTCTCTTTGGGGGCTTCTCGTAATTATTTAAATGTGTTGTCCTATTTTGAAGAAGAAGGAAGAGGAGAACAGAGGACGAGGAGAGGGGAGAAGAAGGGAAGGGAAGGGATAAAGAAAAGAGGGGACGACCACGCTCTCCTTTAATTAGCACTGTGTCTCACCACATCAATTCACAGCTGGAGTCCTCAGAAGGCTGAGTTGTCTACAGACACTCTACCACCCTCTGTCTACTTCTTCGCCTCCCGGTCACTAGTCAACATGCCTGAATCCAGCTTTCATCGCCACGACGCCAATTCCTCTCTTCACCAATTGACCTTTTATTGCTAATTTAGATGCACACACTTCAGCTGCTATTATATTTAACTTCTCAGCAATTTTCTACTCTTTGATCATTTTATTGTTCTTGAAAAGCCATCTTACTATGCATTGTGTAAAACCCACTCTCTCCAACTTTTTCTTTTCAGTGGCTGTTCCTTCTCAGTCTCTTGTGAGACCAAGGGACAGAACTTTATCACCTATGACTAAGGGCCAATGCATATGCTTAGAAGTCTGGACATATTTTCCTGATACCCCTTTAAACAAAAACTTTAAAAGATTAGTAAAAACCTATATAGTTTTATTCTATTTAGTAGAATTTTAGATACACTTAACTCCGTTATCGTCCTTCCAGCATCTACCAAACTGCTCCATAGGAAAGGGGCTCTACCGCAGATCAAGCACAAACCCTAGTTTCCCCTGGGGTCACACAAACTGGTCAACAATTTTAAATACTTTTGTAAATTTAGAAAAACAAACAATTATTAATTCAAATCGACACATATTTATTGTTCTATCACACGAAAGCTGGGAGCTCCAGAGAATATAAAACTTGATCCGCATACAGAATCTTCTTTGAAATCTGATATCTCAAAACAGTAATACAAATAACAATTGCATCAGCCAAGGTAGAATAAAATAAATAAGAAAGTCACACATTCCAAAAGTGTTTCAGGCAAGGAAAAGACCAACTCCAAATTGGAGGAACGAAGAAAGATTTAACGAAGGTGGTAGCATAAAGAACAAAAATTTCTAACGATGTGTAGAACATTGACAGTCAGAGACAAAGAGGAAAACTCCAGGCAGAGGGAATACCAGAAACAAATACAGAAAACCAAGATCAAAATGCAGTATGGCTCTTTTCTAACCTCTTTGCCCCACAGTCATTTTATCTGCACAACGTCATGTGGTGATTGGATACTTACTACATTCCCCACAAGAATATGTTAATAAGGAGGGACTTTATCTCGTTCACTTTTGTACCCTAGTGTCCGAGTACAATGTCTGGCCCCAAACCACTTAGGTTTATGTTTAATAGGCATCATGGGAATTACAATGCATCAGGAAATGCTAGATGTCATTTCCAATTATTAATGTACTCAATCTATTCAATCAAGCTATCACTATAATTAACAGAAATTATGTACCTTGAATCCCTTTGACATTGTGATTGAGTTATCAAGCAGCCAAAAGAAAGTCCTGCCTTATCCTTTCATTGCCAAACAGATGATCACAGACTGGGATTCACAAAGAGTGCTTTGGGTCTGGGTAATTCCAGATCTTCCTATATCCACTGGGTGTGGAGGAATTGGGGAGTAGTTACATTTCTTGGCTTGAGAAGTTCTAGAAAGTTCAGGGATCACACAAATCACTAGAGAATTCCACTAAGTCTCCTCTAAATCAGAGATTCCTAACCTGGATCTTCATAGTTGGGATCAGGAGATCATGGAGATCTACGGAACTGCTCAAGCTGTCTGATAATCGTTACGTTCATGGGCATATGTGAATTTTTCTAAGACGATGGTACATATATTCAATCAGGTTCTCAAAGGGGCCCATAATCCAAAGAAACTTAAAACTAAGACCAATAAGAAAGATCAAGGAATGCCCAGACCTACACGGCTAAGACATGTCACCTATAGTTCATAAAACACTTCAATAAATCCTGATACCTAACTCATTTCAGAAGCATAAAATTATCTCACTGTTTTTGCTGATGTTTCCTTGTTTTGGAATGATTTAAGAATTTTCTCTTTTATTATACATATTTCTTGACTCCCAACTCTATAATTATGTTATTGCAAGTTATCTGCTTTCAGACTTAAAATTTCTTGTCTAAGAAATTACTCAGCCATCTTAATTTTGCTTGATTATTTTGGTCTCATCCCACTGACTGCCCAGTTTCCTGGCTAGGGCATGTCCCATTCCAGCTGGGGGTTGAGGTCCCTGAATCACCCAATGCCCAGTCACAGTGATTCAGTTGGAGTGAGCTATTCATTGGAACCATGCTCTAGACTAGCAATAGAACACGTCTCCTCGCCTACGCCCAGGAATAACAGGGGCATAAAATTCAACTCTGTCTCCACCAAAAAAAAATGAAAGGAAGCCCCTCACCCAGCACATACACAGAAAATAGTGCCCAGGGGAAAGAGACTCCAAGTGTCATGGGCTCTGTCCTTTACAATGAACCTGCTTGAATATTTAATGTTCCCACAACAAAGCTAAGCTCCATGAGGGCAGAGTTTTTGTCCCTTCCATTGACTGTTTTATCCCAAGATCAAAACAGTGCTGGTGAACATAGAGTGAACATATGTTAAATTATGGCTTGGAAAAATGAATGGACTGGATAAAAGAAAGAATGAATTTGCATAGAAAGCCCAAGAGAACACAAAGTTGCTTCCCTTCCCCACCCTTCAGTGCTTACGTACCATTGCTCCTCTCTGTATCAACCCCTTTACCATGCTGTTCTCTGTCTCATTAATTATATTTATTCTCCAAATCCTCCTAAAGCCCCATCTCTTCTCTGAAGTCCCCCCTCAATCCAATCTTGCTCCATCTCTACCACTTATTCATCAATGCTCAGTGACCATCTGGTGCTTTAAAATATTATAAACATAGAAGACTCTAAAGAAATAGAAGACAAGTCCCAGGAACTTTCCATTTAGTTCAAGAGAAACAAAAGTCAAGAAATAATGAAGGAATCATGTAAACCAATGTCTGACCAAGTGTCAAAATGAGTAATAGAAACAAATAAAAATGTTATAGGTGGTTAAAATTAGATATCTCTCCAACCCTGTCTTCCACTGCCACCTTGACCCCATCTTGTTCCAGGGACAGGGAATAATAATCTCACTCCTTCACATCTAGACCTTTGATCTGCCTGGGTGCTCTCCTTGCATTCTTACTGAGTTTTTTTTATTCCTCAGAACTCAGCTTACGGGTGGCCTCCATTAAGCTTTCCCTGCCCTTTTCCACACAAAGAAGTTAACCACACTCTCCCTCACACCAGTGCATGCTCCTGTAGTTACACTTGTCATGCATGATATTGCCTTGTTAACACTTGTGTGTGTCTGCCTCGCGCGTGAAACACACTCCTAACAGAGTATCTGACAGTCACAAAAGCTGATTATGTAAATGAATTGAATAGTTGGAGAAAAGCTTTAAAAAATGCCTCATCTAAAGTGATACAAGTGAATCTACCATTTGATCCAGCAATCCCATTACTGGGCATCTACCCAAAAGATCCAATGACGCTCTACAAAAAAAGACACCTGCACTCGAATGTTTATAGCAGCACAATTCATAATTGCAAGGCTGTGGAAACAGGCCAAGTGTCCATCAATCCAAGAATGGATTAATAAAATGTGGTATATGTATACCATGGAGTACTATTCAGCTCTAAGAAACAACAGTGATATAGCACATCTTATATTTTCCTGGTTAGAGCTGGAACCCATACTACTAAGTGAAGTATCCCAGAATGAAAACAAGCACCACATATACTCACCAGCAAACTGGTATTAACTGAGTAGCACCTAAGTGGACACATAGGTACTACAGTAATAGGGTAATGAGCGAGGGGGGAGGGGGGAGGGGACGTATATACACATAATGAGTGAGATGCGCACCATCTAGGGGATGGTCATGCTGGAAATTCAGACTTGCGGGGGAAGGGGGGAAAGGGCATTTATTGAAACTTTAAAATCTGTACCCCCATAATATGCCAAAAGAAAAAAAGAAAAAAGAAAAAAAAATGCCTCATCATCTCAGTCCATTTTCCATTAACAGACACCTTACTGAAAAAAAAAAAAAAAGCCAAGCCTTAGATGGCCTTCCATGTGAAATCCTGATATGATTCTACCTCTCTTCCTGCCCTCCATCAAAAATTCTCTGTTCTGTGACTTATTTCCCCTTAGTTTCCTGTTTCTGTTTTCCAAGGCAGAAGATGATAAACTAATAAGGTGTTGGTGAGTGTTTCAATGTGGTAGAATGTCAATCCTGGCACTGATTTAGACACAGAAATTGTTGAACAGACCTCACCTCCTGAAAACCTATGGGTAGCACTTGGCTGTTTTGTGTGTGTGTGTGTGTGTGTGTGTTGTGTGTGTGTGTGTGTGAAAGAAATCACAGTGGATCCCTGTGTTTTGCTTAGGTTATAGTATCATTTTCCTCCATTTAAAATAAAGCAACCCATTCAACGTTTCTGGAAGGCAATTTGACCATATTTACTGAAATTTAAAACCTACGTATTATTTAATGCAGTACTTCTAGGAATAACACCTACAGAAACACTTCTGCATCTGCAAAAAAAAAATAAGTTTTATAAAGATATTCATTGTAACACTTTTCTAATTACAAAATAAAATGGAAATGAATTAAATGTTCATCAAAAAGAAATGTAATATAATGTAACCATTACTTAAATGAAATAAATCTACATGCACTAACATACAAATGTGTCTATTATTTGTTAAGTAAAGCCAAGTTAGAGCAATCTACATAATAGACTTTATTTTTTTAACTATGCACAGAGCCCCGCATTTTGGTGTTTGATTTATATGTTCATACTTAGGTGATAAAACAGGTATAACTAAGAAATCATGTGGGAAGAAGAGGGAGGTGAAGAAGGATTTTAATTTTTTCAATGTCTATACTTTTTTAATTACACAAGGCATATCTCTCTGAAATACCCTCTATTCAAATGGCAGACATTGGGTAATATAATGTCTGCAGCTAATAACCCACCTAATGAAGTGTGGGGAATGAAAGAAACCAAATGATTTCATAGACAGCTAAATCCTGATTGGTCTCCCAGTTGCCAGTCTCCTGGAGCTGAGATTAAATTCTTTCTACAAACTCACAAATCATCAAAGGGTAAAATTTTTCCCTAGAGTAAACTGGAGAAATCGACTGGACTTTGAATATTGTTTCACCTGTACATTTTGCCTGGTGGACACAAGGTAACAGTAATTGACCATGTTTCAAGTAGAACACTTTTTTTGTAAGTATTATCTCCTCTCAAAAGGAAAAAAAATCGAGTGAAAGAGTAACTATTTTGTTGTTATAGGTAACGATTTGAAACATGAAGACTACAATTCTACTCTTTTGTCTTCTAGGATCAACTCAGTCCTTACCAGTAAGTGTGATATGTTTATTTTGTGTATCAACCAGCTTCAATAGCATCTCTAGGTACAGACTTATCTCTTTTCCTGTCCTCTATCAAAACTACTCTGTTCTACAACTCATTCCCTTGGTTTCCTGTTTTTATTTTCCAAGTCAGAAGATGGTAAACTAATAAGGTATTGGTACATATTTCAAGATATTTGCCTTTTAAAAATGTATCTACCCTGTAATGGTAGAATGTCAATTATTTTGGTAGAAATTAGTAGACAAAAGATTGCCTTAGATTATATCAACTCAAAGTGGATACCTATTTTATTTTCCAAAACAAAATTTACAATTTTCTTGGCAACTAGTTTTTTGCTCATGACTAAAGAAGTAAACTATATTTTCTAATTTTTCTAATTGAAAACTCTAAATATCTAGATTATATAAACTAAAAAGGCTTAGAACACTCTATCAAAAAAAAAAGCTGTTAGTTTTACAGCTCTTTTAGAATGTCTAGCAGTTTTGCTGGTTTTCTCCAGAAACTTCCTCCCTGCCCCCAAAAAACATATTTACATATTACAGGCTTATTTTTCCTCTTTTAATTTTTTCTTTTTTTTACTCCGGCTAACTTTATTTTTAGCCCCAGGTCAGGTTTCCCAAAGGGCTTCTCAGCAGTCACTTCACAGAGTCTCCCGCAGAGACTCCTTCACCAAGCGCACGTCTTCCTCAGGAGGCCTTATCATCACCTCAACCCTAGACTTCTGCCACCTGGGCTCCAGTCTCTGGCCAATGGCCTCAAAGCATAGCCACCAGTTGGAAGGTGCCCTCAGGTTTGGCAGCAACCACGTGGACAAAAGTCTTGTAGCGCACAGCGCCCTTGGGTCGCCTCGTAACCAGATCCAGAGCTTGGGAGCTGCCGGGACGGGTGCGTAGGGCTCCTCAGTGTAGCGGGCCCCCACCCCTTCTTCTAGGGCGGGCAGGCACCTCCTCTTCCCCAGCCCCGCATGGGCACCTGCGTGCCAACGGACTGGGGCCGAGTCCCAAGAATGTTGCCAGCATGAACATAGTGGCCTTCCATCTTCTTGATGCCATAGCGTCTGCCTGATGACTTTCCACCGAGGTTTTTGGAGTGGCCACCTGTCTCCTTGGGTGCACATCTGACAGCAAGGCCTGTAGCTGGAGGGGCTCTGCAGGGCGCCACTAGCGCCCACGCCACATGTGCCTTACACTCGCTTCCTCTTTTCAATGTTTTATTTTTTTATTTTTTATTCTATTTTTCTATTTCAGCATACTATGAGGGTACAAATGTTTAGGTTACATATATTGTTTTTGCCCCACCTGAACCAGAGCTTCAAGCCTGTCCATCCCCTAGACAGTGTGCACTGTACCCGTTAGGTGTGAATGTGCCCATCCTTTCCTCCCCCTTCCCACCTGCTGACACCCGATGAATGTTACTACTATATGTGCACATAAGTGTTGATTAATTGATACCAATTTGATGGTGAATACATGTGGTGCTTGTTTTTCCTTTCTTGTGATACTTCATAGAATGGGCTCCAGCTCTATCCAGGAAAATACAAGAGGTGCTAGATCACCATTGTTTTTTGTGGCTGAGTAGAACTCCATGGTATATTCCGTGTTTCCCTGAAAATAAGACCTACCCATAAAATAAGCCCTAGCAGGATTTCTAAGCATTTGCACAATATAAGCCCTACCCCGAAAATAAGACCTAGTGATGGGTGAGGCTACCCAGGGTATCTGCACGACCCATGCATTTCATTGTGGAGGGGTAAAGACGAGCAGCCCTTCTCATCTGCCCCATGAAAGCTCTATTGCTCGACATGAGAGATTGGGGCCAATGGTTCTAAAGGAAATAGAGCACAAGAAATTCAGGATGGAATTCAGGGTTGGGAGTTATGCATGATGTTCCGAAGCAAGATGACTCACTATATTTGTGGACATAAATGTGATTGTTGTACCGTACTTTAAAAAAATAACACATCCCCTGAAAATAAGCCCTTGGGTGTCTTCTGAGGAAAAATAAATATAAGACCTGCTCTGTATTTTCAGGGAAAACGGCGTATATACACATTTTATTAATCCACTCGAATTATGACTTGCATTGGGTTGTTTCCGAATCTTGCAATTGTGAATTACGTGCGTTATAAATTTCTGTGGCAGATTTTTTTTTATAGAATGTCTTTTTCCATATGTAGATGCCCCATAATGAATGCTGGATTAAATGGCTAGTTCTACTTGTATCCTTTAGAGTATCCCAGTATCCCCATACTTTCCACAGAGTGTACAGTTTGCGAGTCACACAGTAGTGTGAGTTTTCCTGTTTCTCACATCATGCTCAACATTGATTTTGGCGGTCGGACTTTTTGATAAAAGCCATTCTCGCTGGCAGTTAAGTGAATCTCTTGTGTGTTTATTGCATTTCCTGATGATTAGATGTGACATTTTCAGTTCGTTGGCCATTATTCTGTCTCTTTTGAAAAGTTCTGTTGATGCTCCTTTGCCCACTTTTTAATGGGTTTTCTCTTGCTGATTTTCTGAGTTCGTATATAGATTCTAGTTATCAGCTGCTTATCAGATGGTGTAGCATACTGAGGATTTTCTCCATTATAGGTTGTGCTGTTACATTGTAATAAAAGTTTCTTTTCCGCTGTCTGCAGGAAGCTTTTTAATTTGATCAGGTCCCTTTGTTATTTTGTTGTTCTGTTGATGCAGCTTGGGGTTCTTCTTCATAAATTCTTTGCCTATGCAATATCGTAAGGCTTTTCAACCTTCTGAATTCTTATAGTTTCATGCATGTAGGTTTAAGTCTGTTCACTGTTGGTGAGAGGTGAAAGGTGGTGGATTCCTGTTCAGTCTTCTATATCACATATTTACAAGCTTCTTGAAAGAAAGAATACTAGACTCTACATGTTCCAATGTTCTCCATTATTTATAGACATAGGAGATGGGTGGTTGGATGTCTAAATGGCCATTCTCTTTTGGACTGTTTCAAGATTCTGGAGTACTCATATTAAGACAAAGTTCCAAAAATATTTGTTATGAAATAGCAGAACAAAGAAACCATTCTTGGTTGTGCCTCAAGCTCACTTGTCATTCTATTAGTCCTCCATGCAACAACAAACATTTACTGAAATTCTCTTATGGCAGACATGTGCTAGCTGCTGAAGATACAATGTAGGAGAGGAAGAAGAAAAACATGATGATATTCACAAGATTTAGATATTATAATAAGTTGAATATTTTTTAAAACATTAAATATAAATAATAACCGTGATTGTCTGTGAATGAAATGAACAGGGTGGGAGTTGTGCGGAGATGCGAACCAAGACAGAATAACCAATTTCCCTCTTACTTACTCTGAATATATTTATATGCCTTCCTTGAAAGAAGTGTGTTTCTGGAAAATTTAAATTTATTCTGACAAGGTAAAGGACTTTAATTTTTTATAAAACAAAATAGATCTTTCACTTCCACGCTGATTACTTTACCAAAGCAGTTCTTCAATAGGGTTTCTCTAGTATATTCTTACCATATAATTTGTAAAAGCTCGAGGAGAAATAAACTTTCAGGAGCCACAGTCTTCATGCAGAAGTGGACTCATGAAGTAGGATGCAGGCTACTGCAGACTGCCTAACAGCAATGTGTGAGAGAGTAGTAGAGAGTTGTGGGTAGGCTTGGGGGAGGTGGACACCCAACATGTATATGGGTTAGGAACATCATTTCTCAAATGAAATCAGACACAAAGACAAGTATTTTTAAATGGTAGATGATTTACTGAATATATAAAGGCATAAAAAGAATCCATCTACAAATGTGACACATACAACAACGTAGCAAGTATTTTCAGTAGATCAAAAGTTGAGAACCAAGTGCCAGATAGGAGGACTACTTATGAGTAAAAGAAAGAAAATAAGACAAATCAATCAAGGAATTTTTTGTGAATGTGTGAAGAAAACAAATTTCATTATTCAACAATATATTTGTTGTTTCGCCTTACTGTATGCCAGGACAGTTTTCTGCTTAGGTGTTTTCAGAATTAATCAGTGGTCACCTTGTGAGTTGTGTATATGCAAGGAACAAGTGTAGCCCAATGGGATGATCAACTATGTCTGTTATGGTTACAGACATGTTTGAAGTCGTGTTGTACTATGGGATGTAAAAACTTTGAATGCTAGGGAAGAGGAGGCAGGTCTTTTACAGGGGGCTCTTCGCCCAAGCTGATGTGTGTTGTCTGTGTCTTGCACATTTCCAGGATGTGTGACACGTGTTGCCTCAATTGGGAAGGGTGTATGCAAGTAAGACTTTGAAGCAAGGAGGAAGGAGTCAATGTGGGGTTAGACTTTCCATAGTGAGATCAGTGTGATGGTGAGAGTTGAGGCAGGGTGGCTTACTTTTGCCCAGAAACATTGCTCTCAAAGTGCTTTGTGGAGCATTAGGGCAGAGTGAACAAGAAGAATGATTTTTTTTTGCGTAATGTGGAATGTCAGAGTATGAGCATGAAGGTCCTACCAGGGAATTGAAGGTCATACCAGGCCATGATAGGTTCCTGGTAGGCCATTGTTGGGTTCTGGCTTTTACTGCTGGTACAACTACAGTCATTGTGCTGAGCAGTGAGTGACAAGATTAGATATTGTTTCCAAGGTCACTGTGGTCTGGTGATGTTTGTACTAACAATGATTCAGGGAGGAAAAGACTTATTACAACTATTACGAGCAAATAATGAATAGATGTATTTTAGTGTATTCTGTCAAAGTATCAACAGGAGTGTATCTGTAAATAAGAAAAGACTTATTTACAGAATGTATCTGCACATATCTTTAAAGCTGAAAGGGACTCCAGACAGGTAATCCAACCTCTCCTCTTACATCTGAGGGGGAAAGGCCACGGGAAAACCAAGACTGCTCCAGGTAAACTCAAGGTGACTTAAGGTTGTACAGTGCTGGAGGACCACAAACCCTGTGCCTTCTGGGCATGTATCCAGGAGCAAGACATTGAGATCTACCTAGCAAGGGACATTTTTTTTGCAGGACTAAGAGATTTGCAAGATCCTAGCACTGTCTCTGCCACTCACTACAATTCCATGCCCTGCCATGCACACAATGTCTCAGAATTAAAGCTGCTCCAAAATACACAGAGCTAAAGAAGGAACATTTTTACATAGGGAACACCTGTTACCTTCTGACAGAAATTGATACAAATCTCAAACATACTCCTGTCTCTTCAAATACATATTTGTTTTCACAGAGGCATCTGAACCTGCTTTGACTGACTCCAACAAAGTTGGCTCCAGACCAGGCCACGCCACTAACCCACAGCAGCCAATCAGGTAAGAGTCTTATAACAGGAAACATTTATAAGCCAGCAAAGGAAACGTGTTAAGACTGATGGATTTAAAATCAAGCTTTATACACAGCGTCTCATGGCTGAATGAAAGAGAAAGGCTTTTCGCCGAGCGTGGTGGCTCACGGCTGTAATCCTAGCACTCTGGGAGGCTGAGGCAGGAGGATTGCTCAAGGTCAGGAGGTCAAAACCAGCCTGAGTGAGACCTCGTCTCTTACTATAAAATAGAAGAAATTAATGGCCCAACTAATATATATATTAAAAAAAAAATAGCCGGCATGGTGGCTCGTGGTAATCCCAGCTATTCGGGAGCTGAGGCAGGAGGATCGCTTGAGCCCAGGAGTTTGAGGTTGCTGTGAGCTAGGCTGACGCCACAGCACTCACTCTAGCCTGGGCAACAAAGCGAGACTCTTGTTCAAAAAAAAAAAAAAAAGAGAAAGGCTTTCACTTGGAGAAATAAAAAGAGAACCAATACACTTTTCTGAAAATTTTGAATAGGAAAAACAAAGCACCTTCATTGTTTTTCCTTTTGTCTAAATAATAATTTGGTTTATCAATAAAATCCAGTCAACTTGAAAAGCAATAGCTGCAAAGCTTGATCATCTATGCCCTTGAGTGTGACATCCCTTCTATGGTACTTGTCAGAAGTATCAGGGAATAAGAGGTGATCTATAAAGATAACTGCAGATTTCTTCATGGTTTCGTTAAGTTTCATTGTTGCTGATGAGTTGATGTGTTTCTGTAAAATCTGCTTCTTTAAAGCATAAATACTTTTCAAAACTATCTTTATCTCTTGGCTACTACTCTCCCTCTCACTCCAACTCTTCATCTTCTGTAAAGAACCCTGCCTTACCTACATCTAGAGTTTGTGAAATAGAACAATCAGATAATACTAGAGTCTGAAATTCTCTCTTTAGTTGATGGACATTGTAGAACTCAGGTCAGATGCCAATCTCCCTCCTTAAGGAATCTGCAGCTTATTCAATTTGGGGGCATTTTTTAAGAAAAAGAATGCAAAACTAGATGTGTAAGATTAGGTACTGGAGTATTTATAATGATATAGGAAATAAGAGTAAATCAAAATTTTCAAGCTGATAAATACCATAAACTTGACACATTGTGAGGGTGCCTCCCAGGGCCACAAAAGGGGGTGATGCTAGTGAGAGACCCTAAAGCTTCACCTTCATTTACCTTCATGGTAAATCCACCTCTGGCAGGAGTGTAGATTACGTGGAGTATACATATACTCCTATATTCATAGACTATAGGTCTACCAACGACAGAGTAATGGAAACAGACAACCTCTTGTCTCATACATCAATTTCAATGCTCTGCAGGTCTTCCCTTCTTTAAGTGTAATACCATTAACACAGATGCTCACACTGGGCTCAGATCTGCATCTGGTAAGTGCTCTTTTGTATCATTTTCATACCCATTGTTAAATATAATACCTAACGTTGGGAGGGAGCATGTACATGGGTGTGTGTATCCACAAATGTACACACACACATTCACTGTAGATTTTAAGGTGAAAAAAAGGAGAGAGGGAAGAGTCAAAGAACGCTGGATGCTATTCAATACAACATAAAGTTTTTCCTAGTAAGAGAGCCCATAAAGGAATGGATCTAGTTCTCAAGTCTTTCCTTCTCCACCTCCACTCTCCATTCTTCCACCCTACATTTCTTGATGCCCCTACGACATCCACACACCCCCATAAATGCTATCACTATTACTACCCCACCAACAAGAGCAAACAAGAAAGGATGGAAGATTTCAGTCTTCTCATAAAATGTCTGTATAGTTTAGTCTGTTGGGGGGAGAAAAATAAGTTCCTCTCCTGATTAAAATGTATTTATTTTAGTGGTCACATTTAAATACAGTTCATGTTCCAGATTGGATATTTTATCTGAAACTCATAATTGTCATGGGGATACCTATGAAGGAATTAATTTCTTAATAAAAAAGCTATCAGAATAATTCCAGGAACCATTGCTGTTGTAGCCAAAAGGAGAAAGCAAGGGTAAAATTACCTAAGTATTATAACTCTTGAAGAAAATGGGTTAAATACCAAAGAAAAACTTAGCATGGGAAAAGTTAGTAACAGACCTTGTGGTTGGACTAGTAGATGAGACAAGTCTTTGAATTTCATGTCTGTATCTGACTATACATGCAATAGAATACTATGCATTTACATGGCAAATCCTCCCTTTAAACATATTTTTTGTTTCATAAATACATTTAGTTTCCTGAATGTTCAAACTGAAAAAGATACAAGAAAAATTTTTTTCTTGCCCTACAGTTAAATCCTGCCGTGGGGATGACTCCTGGCCTACAAGCCCACCCACTGCCCCTGGGGGGGCTGAATGTACAACAGCAGCTGCAACCACAGGTGCGTTTAATAACTGGACTTTGGTTTAACCTTGGAAAGCATTTCCTCTTAGGCGGAAGCCTACAGCACAACAGGACAGAAAGAATTTTCTCAAGCTTCTTGAAAATTTTGCCCATATAATTTGCAGACAAATGTTCTAGAACAGTATTTGGCATAGAACAGTATTTGGCAATTTGTTCTTGATAAAACACTCACGAAACCATACCCAGAAAACAAACCGTGCTATCCACACATGTCTCTAGAATACATTTTTAATGAGTAACAAAAAACTATGAAGAATTGGGGGATACTGAAAAGTGAAGACTAGAAGGCAGGCAATTGAGATCTATCTAAAAATAATGGAGACAATTGAACAATTAGGGAGTTCTAGTACTCTTCTTTCAAAAGCTTGTAATAGTGGATTAGGAGAGACTGAAACAGGATCCACAGCTTTCCCTTCTCACCGAAAAAGTGAACAACTTAAACTAAGGCATGAAAGTATAAGAATTGCTAGAAAAAATGGTTGAGAAGCCGTTAACAGAGTATTGGCATATAGGCAAAAAGGAATTATGAAGAAAACCAAAGGCATACACAGCAACAACAAAATAAACAAAGACCTGATAAAATTAAAGCTTCTGCACAGCCAGGAAACATCCAAATGAAACAGACAACCCTATAGAATGGAGAAAAATACCAGTAGCTCACT